TGTGAAGCTGAGACCTAAGAAACTGCAATTGGATTTGACTTTGATCTGTGTATTCCTATTTCTAAAATAAGCAAGAGACAGTGTCTAATTTGATCACTGCTGCTACAGACAGGCACTACCAAACACCTTAGGAGTCTGTACTGTTCTACATGAACTATCTTGTACTGCGCTGCTTGGAGCATTTGGAAACACCGGTTTGTCTTGCAAAGCTGCACGCACTGCTTTTTGAATCTTACCTATCTTCACTAACACAGACTGCGAATTAAGAGCTAGCAATCTCTGCTGGGCAGAAGATACAAGTTAAAACGAACAGCCTTAGGGCAGACAGCAAACCTCTGTGAGATGAGAAGCATCTCTAGCTGTTTTTACCAGCATTGGGAAGCAATACGTGGGTTTTTAAATGAACAAAAGTGATATTTAGACCACTTAAGTATATATAATCAATCTCTATTATTCTTGGCTTATCTAGCAAGCTGCTAACTACTCCTCTGATGTCACGCCAAGAAGGCCACCTGAGCCAAGAGCTTTATCCATAAACAAAAACACATGCAAAAGAAGAAAATTTCACTCTAATCTCATTATTATTATGGAACTACACAAACCTGCATAATTTGCTTGTGCTGAGAAATACGAAAGTACTTGGCAACATCAGGAAGTTTATACTAGAGGCAGCACCACAGCTTAGAATAAGCGGATCATCTTCCAAATGTCAGCCAACAGAATGTAACAATCAGATCCAACGTCACCCCAGGCACCCCGCCCCAGACAAGAGACCTACCTGGCTGGTGTTCACATATGACCCATAGGGTTGGTAGTTTCACTCAGGCCAGGGTGGCTTCCTGGGTGTGGTGTTGGCGGCTCTGCCGATACGGCAGAAACTTTTTCTTCTTCCCTTCTCTTAAGGCAGGCTGCTTTAGGGTTTAGGTTTCGTTCTGCAATAGAAAATTAACATCCCATAGGCTGACACCAAAGGGAGTATCGACGCTGCAATAAAAATAGCTATGCAGCATCCCTGAGTTCTTAAAGGCATATGTTAAAGCACAGGTGCCTAAAGCTGCAGACAGGCTCTGCTGAAAATCCAGCCCTGCAGCTCCTAAACTGGTGTTTAAAAAAAGAGGTTACTTCCTGCCTACATACACCTTGAAAAACACTGCGAAAGAAGTGCCTTTCTGTCACAGAAAGTTGCTACAAATGCAAACCGAGAAAAACTTCCCGTAATTTGTAACAAATTGAAGAATTTTGAGTTTTGTTGACAGCTGAAGTCACACCAACCCTTCTGACATCACACAGCTTTTAGTAACATTTCTGCTTCTTTCTTTACCTTCAGTATTAGCTTGCTCTGAGAGCAGGAGGTAGAATTTCTAAAGTCAGCAATTCTCTTTATACCCCAAGTCTGTGAAATCATCCAGCACCCATCATCATATTCTTCAGATTTAGTCACAGAGAGCAAAAGGAATTTGTTACCCTATTTCCTGTCCCATTGTAAAGCCAGTACTTTTGTAACTGCCAGCTGTGGGCTGTTGAAGCACTTGCAGCAGCATGCTTCTACTTCTCCACTCAGCTTCATAGATGGAGATGTGGATCTAGTTTTCAAATAATTGACAGGTTCTAAAACTCAACCATTTCTGTTCTTCAAAATGGCTTCTCATGAATTAGACTGTAAGAGACAAATCTTAGTGGCCAGAAAGACAAAAGGTATGTAATATATTCTGTCAGCTGAAAGAAGTGTTTTTCTTCCCAGTACATACTGAATTTAATTGACATGCTGGGGCATTTTTCTAGCTATCAGCAACCCTATTTTGCACCTTAAGATTGCAGGTACAATTTTAACTGTGAAGAGACTGCCGAAACTGACCAGGCAACAGCAGCTCATTCAAAACCTCTAGCCCTCCTCTTCACAAAGTCCCTCTGTTAGCCACAGTTTGCTGACCCACGTCCATTTTACAGGGTGCTTCTCTAGCTAATGTGACAGGCAGTTCTGCACAGACTTGCTAATTCTGTTTTCATCCAAACCATTACCAACAGCCTCCCACTGGAACTCCTAAGGAACATCACTCCCACAGAGTCTGCCCAGAAACAAATGCTAACTTCTCTTAACTAGAGAACTAGAACCAGAGAACCTTTTCTGTAGGTTTCACGTAGGTTCAAATGTAGCTGGCCTTGACGTTTTACGAAAGATTTAATTATGCAGAAACTTCAAAAGGAAGTTAATTTAGAGTCATTTAAGAAATTGAGATTAAAAAAACGCTAGCTTACAGTTATAAGATTAACATCTGAAATGCATCATTTTGAATAGCATCAATGACAGCATGAGAAGATGCATTACCAACAGAGAAGAAATGGTTGATGCCATTAGATAACACAACAGTTAAAGCTCCTCTGGATGCCACACAAAGCTGCGGTCACTCAGTTTCAGGATACTTAACAGAGACCGGAACGGTGCAAGGAAAAACGGGGTGAGATGAAGCAGGGAACACAGCCTTCCAGTGCACAGCAAGTAGAGCACAAGGTGAGATGTATGCACGAGGAAGGGAAATTCCTCAGTTTAATCTGTCTGCAGGGTAAGTCCACAGTAATTGCAAGTATGTTTAGGGAACAGGTTTCTAACAGTGTTACATTTTGGAAGCAGCCTCTGACCAAAGCCAAAGTGATTTCCTTCGTTTTCACACAGCCTGTTTGATGTTTTTTAACCACTAAAAGCCATTAATGTTCTTCTGACTTCGTAACAGTCAATCTCATCTTGCAGAGACAGAAGAGCATTTTCAAAAAAACCCCAAGGTCGAAGTCTCAGAAATGCTAAGATTAGCTGCTATCTGATCTGCAGAGTAACACCAATTTCTGCATATGCCTTGCAAATATTCTGACTGGAGATACTGCATTTATTTCAAGACAGGTCAGCAGAGCTGTCCAAAAATCCTTTGCACATTATCCTTACATAAAAGCTTGCATTAGGTCACTCACTTTGTCACTCTGCACTGACTTTTAACAATTGCTTTGCTTCACTGCAAGCAGCTAATTTGGAAATAAAATAAAAATAAGGTACACAAAAATAAGACATTGATGTCATTCAGTGACATCAGTGATTCAGAAATGTAGCACTTCAAGTAAATATGACCACTGACATCATCGACATCTGAAAGACACTCCCCATCTCAACGCACTTGCAGAGAGATGCTGAAGATGGTTATTTAACAGCTCAAGGGAGCAAAGAAAGAGGATGCTCACCAGTTTAAGTGACAGCTTGTGAGTGGCAGAGGTGCCTCAGAATTTTATATGTATCTTTGAAATTAGGTTTAAATTGAGATTAAAACTCTTCAATAGCTTCTCTGACAGACAAGAATGCGACAGCTGAAAAACTAAATGCAATTCCTGGAGGAATCATCTCTCTTAAAAGAAAGTGAACTGCAAAAAGAATTCTCCCTTCTGCAGCTATCAGTAAATGTATTTCTTACCTGGAAAAATCCAAAGGAACGGGGTACAGAAAATACACGCAAAATGAACCCAGACTCAAATAACAGCTGCAGGTTTCCTCCTTCTCCCTACAATACGCTTAATGCAGAAACCTGAGGAAATGCAGTTAACTCACTACATTTAATATCTCAGTTGTGTGTGGTTCATCTTCAATGAGATTTTGCTTTGCTCCATCATCTGTACTACTGAACGAGCACTTGTCTGAACTGTAAAAGCAAGATGTGTCAACGGCTTAACTAATTCACCTAGAGCACATGGTAACAAAACGCTGTGCGGCACAGGAAAGAACAACAAGATGGGAGCACACACCCAGCGCTCCATTCCTCCCCCCCCTCCTTTGTTTTTTTAAAAAGCAATTCCTTGTTTCTCCTAAAAAGCTCGTAACACGGCTACAGAAGCCAAATGCTTTTGGCAACCGGTGCGCTGGGCTATCCCACACTGCTCCATACTGAGTGCCGCAGCACAGGGATGGGCTACTGACCTCTCACTTGCTGCTCCAGACTGAGGATGACTGCCACAGCCTGGTGAAGGATCAGCAGTTTTGTCTGTGGTTTCTCACTCTTCAGATGCAGCTGACACATCCGGCCAAGTTCTTTAAACGCCTCGTTAATGTCTCGTACACGCAAACGCTCTCTGGCATTATTTGCCATTCTTCTCTCCTTTTCTCTTTCTATTTTCTGCTCTGGGTTTAAATCCTCATCTTCATTAGTACTGCTGCAAGAAAGCATAAATAAAAGTATATCAAAATATCACTAATAATTCAAGCAAGTCACCCCACTAGTTCAGAAGTCTCACTCTTAGACATCAAAACCTCTACCTATTTACTGTATTTCATATTGAATGTATGAAATAATAATAAAAAAAGGTTAGATATTAATGCTTCAGTTCTCTCTCACACTTTTCTAAAAAAATCTTTAGTGGCTTTTGCCTAAGGAATATCCACAGAACACTGCCTACACACTGTCAGCAGTTCTAGGCAGAGCAGAGGAAATGCGCTGCCTTGGAAGCAAAAGGAACACTGACTGCTGCTCGACTCAGCTTCTGACACACCTTTCAACTGCTGGGACACTCAGCTGTCTCTTCAGATGAAGAATGAATCATTTTCAACAAATAGTTTTTGCTGGTTTCCAATGTATCGGCTTATAATACAAAGGCATTCCAACAAACTGCCATTAAAAGTGCTCATTACAGAAGGTTTACTGTTGCTAAAAGATTTGCCTGGTCAGCTCTAAAACCTTTTTTTTCCTCCCTTAATACCCAA